CCCCTCCCCCTTCTTGTTGAGTCTCAAGCATCATACACTTGTATACTTATGTAACAAGGATCCAAAGAAGTTGTTTTAGAATGACGTACGGTCACATACTATTATGTTTGAATCTAGCAAGTAGATGTTTCAAAAAGAAGTTCACAGGACCATGTGGAACACCTACTTCACTATGTCAACACCTGTTTCGGAAAGATGTTCCTAGGACCATGAAGGTCATAACCACAATGAGAACACTTGTTTCACCACGTGAACGTACATCATCTCTTCATCGCCATTGACTTTCACCATTCATCCCAATATAAAAGCATGTTTCACTGTGTGAACATGAAAAGCATGATAAATCAATGAAGTTTCTCGATTAATTTTTTAGAACTTCAAAATGTTGTACGTAAATTATAGTAATTTGTGAAAAATGAACTAATTTTAAGAATTTGTATAGAAAATGTTTAATGAGTTGTTTTAAAAGTTTTATCAATTGTTTCATAATACTGTAAAAATAATTAATTACATGTTATAGTTATTATGTTTTTTAACAACAAATAGTATAATAAAAAATAACAAATTATTATTATACTGAAGATATATTTTAATACGTGATTGGATTTTAGATTAAAAAAAATGACGCTGATAAAAATATAAAATGGTAATTTTGTAAGTGTGAAGATTGGAGATGGTTCGTAGTGAGAGCTCGTTATTAAACACTTGGGGACCGTTTACTGAACGTTTACCCAATAAGCGTTTATCATGTCATTTTCTTTACTAGATGAACATGACAAGAGCTGATAAAAACGATAGATGTTCAAATTGGTCGGACCATCACATCGGTCGAATCAAGTTAAATCAAATCCCTCTAACTCTATTACTTAGTTTTCAAACAAAAAAGGTTTTTTTTCCTTTTTTAATCATGAACCAAACCAATATAAAAAATAAATCAAACAACCGTGACATTTAAAATCTAAAAAGAAAGTTTTTTTATTAATAAATAAATTACTTGGTTATTTATCATTAATTTATAAAGAAAAATAATTAATAAGTCAATTTTGTCCTAATTTTTTAACGGTCCATGACTATGTGTTTATGCATTTTGGATGTTTTCTAGTGTCTCTTTTCAACATTGCTCCTCTTAAATGTTTATGTAGAGCTTATAAAAAGAGGGTGTAGAGCATCATTTTTGAAAACTTCAGTCTTAAACCCCAAACCCCCTCTTCAAAAAATATTTATAGATTTTTTCAGTCTTTTTTAACTGTATACAGTTTTTATAATTCTTCTTTCAGATACATCTTCATCCTCTTAATAACTTCTCCGGTAATGATTAAGAGGGTTAAAACTATATTTTTCTAATCTCAATGAAAATTACGCAAAGCCCATCGAGTATCATGGTGGTCTCTTTGTCGAGTAGAGGACCTCGGCTGTGGGTGGTTGATTGTTGCAGGGATCATAGGCGTAATCCGTTAGTTTTTCGCATATGTAAGTTAAGTAGATTTTAAATTACGGTTTTAAATAAATTGAATGGTTGGTTTTTTATTCATTAATGAAATAACATCATTTTAAATCTATAACATCGTTTATTATTTGTTTGCGAGTCTTTATTTCCTGGCTTAATTCAGATTCTGTGTTTGAGCAGCTTCTTCGCATGCTGCACAAGCTAAACCTAATGTTCAGGTATATATGTCTGGCTGCATTCAGTTGCACTTCAAATAATTAAGAAATGGATTTAATTATATATAATTTTACCTTAATTCAAACTGTTTGTATATGCAGACACTTGATATGACCAAAGAACGAATCAAGAAACTGCTGAGCAATGTGGAACTTTCTGTATCTTCATATGACACAGCCTGGGTAGCCATGGTTCCTTCTCCAAACTCTCCCAATTCCCCTTGTTTCCCTCAATGTCTGAACTGGGTGATGGATAATCAGCTTAAGGATGGTTCATGGGGTCTTCATCATCATCATCATCATCCCCCATTACTTAAAGATTCTCTTTCTTCAACATTAGCATCTATTCTTGCATTAAAACGATGGAATCTCGGGGAACACCAAATTAACAAGGGTATAGTCTATACATGGCTCTTTGTATGTAGGAGTCCCACATCTGCTTAGTATATGTTTGGAATCTCTTTGATCTGATCCTTAGAAGTTCTTTTGAACGGTAGTCTAACGGGATTCCACGTATTCTGACCGTGTCAATAAATGATCAAATCTTGTTGCAGGTCTATGTTTTATCGAGTCAAATTTTGCTTCAGCCACTGACGAGAATCAACCATCTCCGATTGGTTTTGATATTAGTTTTCCTCATATGCTCGAGTATGCCAAAGAATTGAACATAAGTCTCCCGTTAAACCAAACAGATTTGAGTGTGATGATACATCAGAGAGAATTGGAGCTCAGACGGTATGTTTTTTTTTACCATCAATATATATATATATATATATATATATATATATATATATATATCCGCTCTATATCCCTCATGAACACTATGCGTGAAACACACACATACATGTAATGAAAATAATGATCAAGAAATCTTTATGTGTTATCATCACTTAGATGTTGTTCAAGGCAGAAGGAAGCGTACCTCGCATATATTTCAGAAGGACTCGGAAATTACCATGATTGGAACATGGTGAAGACATATCAGATGAAGAACGGTTCTCTTTTCAATTCGCCTTCAGCAACAGCAGCTGCTCTTATTCATCATCAAAATGCTGGCTGTCTTGATTATCTAACTTCACTTGTGAATAAGTTTGGGAATGCAGGTACTCATTTTATATTCATCCATATGATCCTGTGCATGAGTCCTACGTTTTTCTAACAAATGTAAGTGGTCTTATGTGGTGAATCATGAATGACACAGTCCCGACAGTTTACCCTCACGATTTATATGTTCGACTTCACATGGTTGACACACTTGAAAGATTAGGAATCGCACGGCATTTCAGGACGGAAATCCAAAATGTTTTAGATGAAACATACAGGTAATGTTGCATTACGTTAACTAGTTAGAAATTCACGAATTTTGCAAGCTGGAAATATGACATTCATCACAAAAAATTAGATACTGGGTGCAAAGGGATGAACAAATATTCATGGACGTTGTCACTTGTGCTCTAGCCTTTCGGATATTAAGGACCAACGGGTATGAAGTCTCCTCAGGTATATATATTTTTCAAACAAAAAGTCATATAAACTTATTACAACATTTTTAGATATGATACACAAGTGTTTGGTTGTGTAAACTTAAATCCTATAAAGTAGTCTATTAGGACACTCAGACGTTCTTGGTGTCCTATGAATTGGATCTTGTTGTAGTGAGTTCCCCCAAAATTTCTGATTTTCTTAGCTTCATCACTTGGTTAATTTGTGGCATAGATCCATTAACTGAATCTACAAAAAGGGGGGACTACATGAATTTACTTGAAGAGCCTTTCAAAGACATACATGCAGCTCTTGAAGTGTATCATGCATCACAGATTATGCATCAAGAAGAGTTGTCTTCAATCCCTTCAAACAGTCTCAATAAATTCATTCACAAACAGGTATTCTAATTTCAACTGACATGTAGTTATGATCAGTAAACACTTCCATTTATCTGAATCGATTATTGATTCAGGTGGGCGTCACGCTTAAGTTCCCCTTCAACGCTGGTTTAGAACGCATGTCCACTAGAAGAAATATAGAGCATTACAAAGTGGAAGATGCAAGAATCTTGAAAACGACTTATCGGTTAGGTTTTGATTGTAAATCTTAAACAAGAAACACTTGTCACATGTAGATTTTACTACTTTAGATATCTGAATACTTAAGTCTATATATTATCAGTTCACCAAACATTAGCAACGAAGATTACATAAGGTTGGCTGTGGAAGATTACAATGCATGCCAATCTATTTACCGCGAGGAACTGAAAGGTCTTGAAAGGTGTGTATTCGAAACCAGCGTTGTGTTTTAAGTTTTAACTCGCATCCTTGAAAGATTTGTGTTTCGACTGCATCCCTCTTTATGTGAGCAGGTGGGTGGTGGAGAATAGATTGGACAAGCTCAAGTTTGCAAGGCAGAAGACAGCCTACTGTTACTTTTCTGCTGCTTCAACACTTCCTTCGCCTGAACTATCGGATGCCCGTATTTCATGGGCCAAAAATAGCATTCTTGTTGGGATGATTGATGACTTCTTTGATGTTGGAGGGTCTATGGATGAATTGCTGAACCTGATTCAGTCAGTTGAAAAGTATATCATCCTTATATATACTGTTTAGATAATGTTGATCCATAGTTATAATGAATATCTTGTTGATCAGGGTTTGATCTGTTATTATCGACTGCAGATGGAATGTAGATGTTGATGATGCTTGTTGTTCAGAGGAAGTTCGGATTATATTTTTAGCGCTGAAGGATACAGTTTATTGGATTGATGAGAAAGCTTCAAAACGGCAAGCACGAAATATAACAAGTCATCTAATAGAAATTGTAAGATGAAATCCTTCCTAGCATCTTTGGGGGTGAACTCACTCTCCGGTCGCTACAACAAAATTGGGTTTATAGGACACCCACAATCTTTAAGTATTCCAATAGACCAATTTATAGGACTGAGTTTATAGGAACAAAAAACAAAGTGTCATATCTAAAGGTGTTGTAATAAGTTTATATGACGTTTTTAGGCGTCTTAACAAGTTTTTAGAACATTTTTAATACAAAGTGTCGCATTAGCGACTTTATAGGACACTTTTGAGAAAGTGTCCTACAAACTCAATTTTTTTATAGGACATTTGTTTTTAATAGGACAGTTTTTCAAATAGTATCTTATAAAGTTGCTAATAGTACGCTTTATATTAAAAGTGTCCTAAAAATATTATTACGATATCAAAAAACGTCATATAAACTTATTACAACGCCTTTAGATATGACACTTTGTTTTTTTGGTCCTATAAACTAAGTCCTATAAAAATGTCTATTGGGACACTTAGAAATTGGGGGTGTCCAATAAACCCGATTTTGTTGTAGTGACTTTTTGCTCCATAAGCGACTTCCAACACGAGTTGGGCAAGTCGCATCATATGTTAGTATGTATTCTTGCTATATATTTGGGTAAATGTTACATCTCGGTACATCTCATCCTCCTCAAACCCTACTTTCCAGTAGAATTTACTGGGTTTGCTTTCAAAACACAATAAAACCACACATTTCTTGGATGTTCTCACTACAACAAATTAAAATTGGTTTTATAGGACACCTAAAAATGTCTAAATGTCCTAATAAAATTACTTTACAGGACTTAGAAACCAAAAAACGTTTTATCTAAAAGTGTTACAATAGGTTTATAAGACATTTTCAAGCGTTTTAACAAGTTTTTAGAACGTTTCTAAAATAAAGTGTTATATTAGCTATTTTATACGACACTATCTGAAAGTGTCCTATAAAAAGAGGGATTTATAGAACATTTCTCAAAGTTTGTTAAAACACCTAAAAGCGTTGATAACCTATTGTAACACTTTTAGATATGACGCTTTACAGTTTGGTCTTATGAACTCATGTTTAAATATTTTAAGCGTCCTATAAATTTAATCTTGTTGCAGTCTGTGTTGGATGTATTCCACTTTAAAAAAAGACAGTATTCATTAATTCTTTTTGTTTCGATAGTGGTTGGATGTGTTGAAGAGTATGTTAAGAGAGGCAATATGGACGATAGATGGTCGGGTACCGACAATAAACGAGTATATGGAAAACGGTTATGTATCACTTGCATTGGGCCCGATTGTACTCCCGGTTCTTTACTTTATCGGTCCAAGATTGTCAGAGGAAATTGTTCGGAGCTCCGAATATCACAAGCTATTTAAATTAATGAGCACCGAGGGTCGCCTTTTGAACGATATCCGAGGCTACAAGGTAGATAAATGTTTTTCGACTTCAAGATGTCAAAAATTTACTATTAAATCTAAATGGTTTGTGTTAAAAATGCAGAGAGAACTGAAAGCGGGCAAATTAAACGCTGTAACGTTACACATGCGTCATGCCAAGTGCGGTCTTGTGGAAGAAAAGGTCGTCGAGGAGATAAAGATTTTGATCGAAGATCAAAGGAGAGAATTGATGAGATTAGTTTTGCAAACGAAAGGAAGCATTGTTCCCAAAGCTTGCAAAGATACGTTTTGGAACATGTCGAACGTGTTGAATCTATTTTATGCAAAGAATGATGGGTTCACCAGAAATGACATCCTTGATATTGTCCAACAAATCATCTATGAACCGGTATCCCACCCGTTGATGCGCTGAAAGATGAGATGTACGTAGACTGACTTATGCCTCGAGGAGTAAAGCAGTTGTTTCAGTGAAGACATTCATTTCGTGTAAATCGCGTTGCTACTGAAAGTTATATAGATGTGCTTTTTGTAGCCTCTTTTCCGATGGATTGGCATGTTTATTTTGTTTCAGATTCTTCTTTCAACATTTGGAAATTACGCTAAATTCTTTTCACTATTCTTTCGAAGGATTATAATTTATTTAACCACTTACTACGTCATGTTGTGATGTTATTTTAGGTTTATGATGCTTAATGTCAAAATTCGAAATTTCAAAATTGTCAATTTACAACCCTTACCCTTAGGTGAGGTTTGTCTTTTAAGAGGTGATGAAGTCTGATTTTACTTTTGATTTTTAAGAGGTGATGCTGAAGTCTGAAATTTGAATTAGTCAGACTATTTGTTTTTACGTCTGAAATCTGAATCAGTCAGACTGTTTGTTTTTACGTCAGAAGTCTGAAATCTGAATCAATTCATTTCAATTAAATTCAACTGAAATATCCATTTATTTTGAACACATTAAAAAATTCAACTGAAATACGTTAATTGATTCAACACACAATAGAAAACACGAATAAAATCTTAATGTGGTTCTTTTTAATGTGAATGAAACAATTCTTATATATTGGTTTTTATAAATATTCCTAAAATAATAAGAATGATTCCTAATACATTCCAAGTCGATTGGTATTATGAACAAAAAAGGAAAGAGAGGGAGGGGGTTTTCTCGCTTTTTGGCATAATGGGCCCCAGTGGGCTTGCATGACGGGACATTAGCTTGGTGGATAGAGCACGTTCTTGATAATTGCATTGTTGTGCATGGGCTGTGAGTAGAGATGGCCAAAAATTGGTCTCAAATAAAGCCTAAATCAATCCCAGTCCCAAACACTATTCCTGTAACCGATCCCGGTCAAAGAAGGGTGGTCTGGCTAAGGTACTTTGTAACCAGTTATGAGAACCGGTCCCAGCTCTGGCCCAAACTGGTCCTATGTTTTTTTTTAGATTCGATTTTTTACATATTTTTTTTGACTTTTTTAAAGAATACAAAAATGTTATTTTAATACACTTGAAAATATGTAATTAAGTCGATCAAATACACTTACAAAGTACGTTTTATTATAATTTTTAAATTTGTTTTCAATCAAATACATGAATTATAGCAATAATTGTAAACGTTTTTTGTGTTTGTGAATTGGTATTTTCTCCACATACACCATATGACTTATATACAGTGTATGGAGGGTAAACGGAACAAAAAACGGTCATATGGACGTTGGGCAACGACTATAAAAGGCTACTTTTTGAAAAATTAGGTCGGACCAGACCTTTTTTTTTTGACAAAAACTGTAGCCAGTCCTTAACCGTTGGTCTTAAATGTCCACCAAAAATGTTAAATTCTAGAAGGAAAAAAATCGTAAATTTGTTAAACCAGTTTTAGGTTATATGGCTATTTTGTGATATATTTATACTATATTATAAAGTATTTGACAAAAACTCTTAAAAATTATTTTTTATGCATTAAGTATTGTTTATTGATGCATATTACTTAAAATTCAAGATTACAAGTAAATTATTCATATGTACAACTTATCAAAACTCCATGTTTGAATTCGTGTAACTAACTACAGATAAACATAATCAAATACTGGATAGATATCTCATTTTATATATAAAAAATTAAAATGTATTTAGTATAATTATTGAATTCTAACAAAATACTAAATATTATCTTATAAAAGAATTATATTATTAAACAAAAAATAGAATTAAATTATAATAAAAAAATAGAATTAAAAACATTACACAAAAAAACAAGAACTTTTAAATATTTAATTTGATACTAAAATCGATAGATTTTCTTTTTCAAAATTTTATGAAACCTTCAAAATTATATTTTATTCAAAAATGTATTATAACATCGATGGAGACAAAATAAAAATGAAACATTAAAATCGAGATGTATCTCACTTTATTACACAAGTATCCTTATAATGTTAATAAATCGACTATTTAAAGAATTTTATTGCAAAAAACTGACCATTTTGTCTGGGCTGTCCCTCAACCATAATACCATATATACCTAGCAGGCCCACTGCTGATTCTTTCCCTTGAGCCCAATAAAACAGTGGATAAGCCCAGCAACACAAGACCAGTATGTTTAACAAATAAGCGTATCAGATGTCTGTTACCTTACCGGATGAATATGGTAGAAATTGGAAATCTTATCCGATAATAAGTATGGCAAGAACGGGAATCTTACTCAATAAGTGAGAAAGGTTAGTATTTATAGGGTAAAAATATTTATCAACAATTTATTTTGATGACCGAAAATGTTACCTTGCGGACTTGGTTTTGGATTTTTTTTATACTTTGACCCCTCCACAAATTGAGGAGGTGCCACTTGTGGGCCTAGTGATATTTTTGAATTATTAGAAGAGAAATGACTAAGAAACAAATTTAAAATCTAAAAATGATTATTTTAATTAATTTCCCGGTAATAATTTGGTTTGTTACTTTTCATTTACAACAATTCTCACAAATTACAATTTTGGAACCTTAGTTTAAATATATGTAATCTTATTTTAAAGAAATTTTTTATTTAAAGAATTCGTTTTTTTAAATAATATTTTAAATAATTATAATTTTCATTAAAATCACATGTAATTCACAGTTAATTAAAAAAATTTAAAATATTATTCTAATTATGTGTAATTTGAAATTTGAAAACCAATTATTCAAATTAAAAATTAAAAAAGAAAAATAATAAAAACAGAATCATATATAATATGTAGCAAAACATATTTAAATTATATACAATCTTATGTACTTCAAAAGATAATGTATGTTTTACACATATCGTATGTGATATGTACCAAAACATATTTAAAATGTGATTGTTTTTTAAGGGGAAAAAACGTTGTTTGATTGTGGATATCACGTGTGGTTTTGATGAAAATTGTGATTCTTAAATAAACTACTTCAACAAAAATAAATATTTTAAATGAAAAACTAAATCACACTTATTTTAAATGTCAAACAGATAAAAATTACTGACACGCCACACTTTTGTATGAGAGCATCTCCTGATAATTGCTAATATGCACATTTTTGTTTCACTTTCACCAACCAGATTCTCTAAAGTTAAGAATCAAAATTGAAAATCTCAGAAAAATTATATTTAACACCAACAACTATTCTATTTTTGAAGATTATAACATTAAATTTATATTATTAAAATATCTCATGCATTTAGTAACAGGTTTTGAAATGTCAAGAACTTATTTGTTCCAAAAAATTATGCAAGAACTTAATCATTCCAAACATTAAAATGAATTTGATTTTTTTAGACTTTTCCTTACTATTATAGATGTTTAAGTGTTTTTTAGTGTAGGGTTAGAATTGATTTATCTTTGTGTTCATTGGACAATCATTTTTAGTGTTTTATTTTAGTCCACACCAAAAACATAAAATTTAGATGTCAATAAAGTATATATATATATATATATATATATATATATATATATATATTCTCTGATAAACATTTGATTTCAAGAATTTTCATTGATAAAAAAAATAAAAAAATTATTTTTATATAGTTCTTCAAATTTTGAAAATTGCACCATCTTTCTTTTACTTTCTTCATTTTATAGAATATTTTGAAGAATCTGTTAGAGATGCTTCTAACTCATTTTTAACAAATCTTCCAAACCGGAGAAACGAGGATTTTAGGGATTTTTTACTAATCTGGCTTTAACAGGTTTTTCAAAACTTTATGTAGATTAGAAAAATAGGAGAGATTATTCTTCAAATTTGGTAAACTTTTTAAAAATAACGAGTAATGAGATAAAAATAGTTTTATTATTATTTTAACTAATTAAAATCACTGAAATTAAATGTGTCAAATGAGAATTTAAATGTATTAATTATTTTAATGATGTAATTAATTAATATTATAATCTTTATATTGTTGAAATTAAGTATAATATTTTTCAAGTTTTAATTTATTTATTTTTTAAAATTGAAAACTTTATTAAAAATGCTCTTAGACACTCCCATTAGGCGATCATCATAAATGCTCTTTGTGTTGGGTGTGTCCTTTTAAAAATGAGAGATTTTTATTATATTATTATTACTTGTATATTTATTATATTATTAAAAGTGATATTTTTTTTATTTGTTAATTTTTAGTGTATTGTTGTTAATACTTTCTATTATATCATATAAATAATACTTATTTATATATCTTTATTATTTAATATTTTTACTATCATTGTTTTCATATTTTTATTTATTCTTATTACTATTATTGTACTATAATACTTTTTCTTTATTTTTCATAATCTATTTCAAGAATATCTTTTTTCTATAAATAAAGATACGAAATAAATGATAATAAAAAATAACCTAATTTTATATTTAAAAGTTAGATAAAAATGTTGAGTTATTATCTGAATTTTTTAAAGTTTAAAAAAATAGACTATTCTCTGAATTTGGAAGTTATAGAATATATTCTAAAATGAAATATGAAAATCTTATTATATTGATTTTTAAAGTTTTTATTTATTTAATTTATCTATACTATATTATAAAGCATTTGACAAAAACTCTTAAAAGCCATTTTTTATGTGTAAAATACTGTTTATTAATGCATATTACTTAAAAACTCAATATTGCAAGTAGATTATATGCAAGTACAACTTATTAAAGTTCTATATCTGAATTCGTGTAACTAACTGCATATAAACATAATCAAATACATGATAAACATCTCATTTTAAATACAAAAAATTTAAAATATAATTAGGATTATCATTAAAACATATAAAGAATGAAACATTTTAAAAAATTTAATGAAACATTTTGAAAACTGAATATTTTTAATTTAATGAACGTTTTTCATGTATAAAACGTTTCGAAATATTAATATATTAATTTCATCAGTGAAATTGTGTTCATGGTCACTGTTGAACATGA